TACAGAGAGGAAGGGAGAGGGATAGAGAGTTAGAAACATCGATGAGAGAGAAGCATCGATCAGCTGCCTCCTGCACACTCCCCACTGGGGATGTGCCTGCAACCAAGGTACATGCCCTTGACCGGAATCGAACCCGGGACCCCCCAGTCTCCAGGCCGACGCTCTATCCAGTGAGCCAAACCGGCCAGGCAACACATCTAATCTTGATGCGTATCACACATGAGCATCTCTCCACTCCAAGACCTTTATGGGAGGGATTTGAATAATAAACTACACTTGTCCAGAAGAAACAGATTTAATGAAGTGGGAGATTTATTCTGGAGAGTTTGAATACTGAAAGCTTTGGAATAGATGATCCAGATTTTTAACTTGAGATATAATGTGGTAGTTTTTTTTTTTTACCCATCAGTAGGTATTACACTTTCTGGTTTCATGAGAGGTGCATGGTTGGGGAAGGGTAAGCCATTAAAATCACTGAATTCCTTCTAAAGGATAATCTTCACTCCTGCCTGTCATTTATATCACAAGAAAAGTACAACCGGAAGAAATCACTACCGGATTCTAGTGGAGAACTGATGGGCTCTCCGATGCTAATTTTTAGGAGCTGTGCACTTCATGCCGGTAGATGCTTATAGCATGATTATCTAAACACCGAGATATCAATCAGCAGAAGCCCTGCCGGAACGATGGATTCAGAACCTCTGGAAATGTTCTCCTTCTTAAAGACAATGAGAACCCTGGCAAAAAATTATCTCTGACATTTTCAGCACTCTGGAAATTAACCAAGGATTTGTAACAACCCAGGAGCATTTGTTCAAGAAGAACAACAGAGTCTTGATAAGGGCAATGGGCCCTGTGGCATTTTAACTTGCCTATTCTTAGTTGTTCTTGGCAGCTCTGTGTAGTTTGAAAATCAGCAGCCCTGCAAACCCAGTCTCTGTGAAAACCAACAGCCTGACAGTCACTGGAGAAGTCAAAACCCTGGCTGTTCACACACACACACACACATCAGCTAGATCAGTGGTCGGCAAACTGCGGCTCACGAGCCACTTGCAGCTCTTTGGCCCCTGGAGTGTGGCCATGAAGTTTCATTCGCACTGTACGTGCGCGCTCACACATGGTATTTTGTGGAAGAGCCACACTCAAGCAGTCGCAGTTTGCCGACCACTGAGCTAGACCGTAATTAGAGTGGTAAAAGCATAGTTTCCTGAGAAAAACAATTACAGTAGGGGAAAACAGTCCTCAGTGTAGAAACTGTTTCAATTCTGAATACAATAAGGAAACGTGAGACTTTATAGCCAAAGACTCAAAGAGAGTGAGGCTCAATTGAGGGACAATGACTAACAGGAAGCATCAGAGGTAAAGACGGATTCTAACTAAATTGGTCTAACACGATTCTTACCAAAGGCAGGCCAGGGAGATCAGACATCACTTGGGAAGATGGTGGAGGATAAGGAACCTGATTAGATATCAGACAGCCCTAACTGGTTTGGCTCAGTGGATAGAGTGTTGGCCTGCGGACTCAAGGGTCCCAGGTTCGATTCCAGTCAAGGGCATGTACCTTGGTTGCAGGCACACTGAATCGACGTTTCTCTCTCATCAATGCTTCTAACTCTCTATCCCTCTCCCTTCCTCTCACTAAAAAATCAATAAAATATATTTTTTTTTAAAAAAAGAGTTACCAGATAGTGCCTGACTGGTGTGGCTCAGTGGTTGAGTGTTGACCTATGAAGGGAGGTCATGATATAATTCCAGGTCAGGGCACATGCCTGGGTTGTGGCCTCCATCCCCACTGGAGAGCATGCAGGAGGCAGCCAGTCAATGATTCTTGCTCATCATTGATGTTTGTTTCTCTCTCTCCCTCCCTCTTCCTCTCTGAAATCAATAAAAATATATAATTTTTTAAAAAAGAGTCATCAGATAGCAAGGATGGAGTATTATAGTTCAACTTAACAGGATTCTTGCTAAAAGTGAGTAATGCAGAGACAAACATGGAAGCTGAGAAATTAGGGCCTATTTGAGAAAAGAGTTCAGGGGGGCTAGAGTGGAGTTTGGTCAAGAAGAGAGTCTTTGTCACTTCAGAGCTTCTCAAAAAGCCATCTTGCCCAAGGAATAGTCACTGTTTAACCTGACTGGCAGCTCCTGGAAGCCCCATTCACAGAGTGTGCCCTCATATCACCTCATTCAAAGGTCACTCAGACCTAACCTTAACCCTACCCCTATCCCTAGCCTTAACTTAACCCTATCTCTAACTCTAACCCTAACACTAACACTAACCACTCTTTGGTCCTTTGTTTCAATTAGGGACAACTCTGAAGGGACATTCTAGCTCTCTCAATAGGATTGGCTGATGCCTCTTTTGGACATGCCACTCATTTTAACCTCTTCTTCCCCATACTGTCCCCTCACTCATTCATGGATATTCCTTGCTGAGAGCTCCCCAACCCCATTAAAATTTCTACATACAAATGACCATTTCAGAGTCTGTTTTCAAGGGCCCCAACTTAAAATAGTAGTAATGAAACCAGAGAGAGAAGGGAGATTTTTAAACAATAAAATCATTAAGAAGTCAAAGAGGAAATATATAGTATTAATTGAAAAGGGGGAATTTTTCTCCATTTTGATAAACAGGAAGGAGGGGAAGAGAACAGGTGGGGGAACTTTGACAGAGAGTCACAGTAAGACTGTGCCACATGGAAGAATTATTCCCCTAAGAAAATTAAAGTGTGAGGTAAGCAAAAATGTTGGCCAAGCAAGACAAAAACTTGTCCCCTACCATTGGTATTTAGGAGCACAAAAATAAATCAGAAAGATCTGGAAACCAGAGAGCCAGATAACTATGGAAAAAACAGAAGATTCTCTCTCTGTCTTCCCGCTGAATACCTTTACTCTGAGACCCCCAGGAACATTTGGTCATTTGTTACTCACCAGCTGCCAGCCCCACTTCCTCCTATCTTCTTTGTAATCAAGCAATTTAAGTATCTGCCCTCCCACTCTCTGCTCTTAGCTAAGCTGGAGCTTCCCTACAAAGCCTGATTTTTGTTGTTGTACACATCACTATGTCGTACAACCGAAACTTAATACAATTCTATATGTCAATTATATCTTAATAAAAAAAACTTCATTCTCTAAAACAGTTAATTAAGTAACTTTGGAATATAAGCGAATGTTTTTAAATAAATAATATTTTCCAGATGCATTAATTTATTGAAAAATCCTGTTCCATTTATTGGTGATGTCACCCTTTTTAAAAAATACATTTTTATATAAAATAAAGTTTGTGTCTCAGGAATAGATAAAGACGGTCTAGATTGGGTTCAAAGGCCAAAGTAAATAGGAGATACTCATCAAAGTTATTCAATAAATAACCCATTAAGCAAAATTAACATCAGTTTAATTTTGTTTCATAAAAATATTAAACATTTCAAATAAAAAATACAACTAAAAAAGTCTGCAGGTTGTGCTTTAATTTCACATTTCAGACATTGCACAATATTTACAAGACACTCATTTTGATTGTGAGATATAAAACAGTTTTTACCCCCAATATAAAATCTGTTTAACTTCTCATGTTAAACAATAAAAATGACATACATGCAAGATAGCTTTGTTACTAAGTTAATGATCCCTTGAAATTTTATGTGGCTATATGATGATTGCTAGATGTGTTAAACACACACACACACACACACACACACACACAAAACAACAACAACAACAAAAACTTAGAACAAATTGGTTATCCTGTGAGCTTTTTTTCTTTCTTTCCTTCTTTCCTTTCTGGTATATTGCATTAAAGAGAACCTATCTATAGACACCATTAATAATAATTGTCCTTAAGGAACAATATAAATATAAGCTAAATAAAAATAATAAGGAAGATGCTATGTAAAAAATCTTATTATCTAAAAATCATTGCAATCTTAAGCCATATGTAGACACTAGTAGCTGGGACCACTGCATTGCAGAAGCTAAAATGAGAGTACGTTTTTCTTCACCCAAAATCCCAGCGTTCATAGGAGCAAACAAACAGCGACACAAGCAAAATATTCACTGTATCAGAAATAGAGCACAGGCCTTTAGAGTCATTATCCAGTGAACTTGTGTCCTTACATGAAAAAGGGCAGCCACAGGCATCTGGCCCCTGAAGTTCTCTGGTACCCACATTTGGGATGTACCTTTCTTTAAGAAGATGGCCGTCTGTGGAAGTGAACTCCTTAAATAACTGCCTGCAGTTATGGCATGGTTTAATCTATATATATAAAAGCCTAATATGCTAAGTGTCCAACCATGTGACCATTCAACCGGTCGCTATGATGTGCCCTGACCATCAGGGGGCAGATGCTCCGACCAGTAGGTTAGCTTGCTGCTGGGGTCTGGCTAATTGGGACTGGGCAAACCGGGCCAGACATGCCCTGGAGCCCTCCCGTGGTTCCTCCCAGTCTGGCCAACCTACCGCGGTCCCTCCCTGGCCTCTAAAACCGTTCTTCTAATTAATTTCCTTTCAGTGTGCACGAATCCGTGCACTGGGCCTCTAGTCATTTATAAAGACTCTTCACAGAATCTGAAGTTGAATTCATCGAAATGCAAACAAGGGATGATGCCTGCAGAGTCAATCCAGGAAGGAGAATTCTTCATGGGTGTAACATCTATTTCAAGGACAGACTTTGTTCCCACTGACTCCCACTTCTTTGTTTCGTTTGTGAAATTAACGGAGAAAGTCTCTAGATAAAGTGCTGTCCCTATTGCTAGGTTTAAATCTAAGAAAGAAAACTTATCCCTTAGAAAAAATATAAGCTCAGTGTTAACGTGTGTTTTTAGGTTAAGTGAATTGGATTTGTGGCTGTTGCTTTTCTAAAAACAGAACTACAACAGTGAAGAAGGTAAATTATCGTGTGAGTAAATCCAGGGGTTCTGCCTCCCTGCTGTGCGGAAAACTATTCTGAGGAAAAGC